TGCCTTCGATGCTCGTGAAAAATTCCTCAGAGAACTCCTCCGCATTTCTGTTCTTTACGAACTGTGCTATACACGGGGAGCACGATGCCCCAAAAATGGCCACGTCCACGACGTAAACTTGCGGTGAATCCTCCGGGTTATCTCTCAACAAAAAACGCAAAAACTGTCTATCTGCTGCACGAATAATGATCTGGTGAAACATTTCTTGCAGATCTCCACCAATCGCTATATTTCCGCCGTGGAACCTGATCAGCACGGCGATGAGGGAAACTATCAAATCTGGGCCTTTCAACAAAAGATCGTTGAAGCACAAGCCCTCTACGGTTGCTGCTGCATCCCAAATCAAACGAACCTTGTCCGGTTTTTTTGGGATTTTGGACCACCCCAAGTGGTAAACGACGGAGTGCAAGTGGATAAGTATCGGGAAGGTTGTATTCATCCTCCTTCCACAGAAGGCCAACTTCGAAACCAGTTGGCACGCGAATAGTTGTATTCTCGAAAATTTGATTAGCTCTCTTGTCATCCTCTGATTCCGGTTTCAATGTGATACACGACTCTTCGATGTTGAAAAATTGCTTCATCAGGTGTGTATGTGTACTTATGTGTGGCAAAAACGAAAACGACATAAATGATTGAGAAGTAAACGAATCACTGACAGCCGAGCGCTCAGTCAGCACGTTTATTCTTCCGTGATGGTACCCAATCCTTGTTTTGAATGACTGAGCGTATATTTTCTATGAAAAAATGCCTCAATTACAAACTCAAACTCCATTTTTTTTCATGTTAATTTTTTAGGAGTTTTACCAGATTTTCAAGCTTCAATAGCATTCAATGGCATACAAGTTTACGCCTTTTTGAATAATCGTACGAATTCCCGGAAGCATGATTACATCTCTTCCGATTATGGCATCGAGGAGTCCTAATACTTCATCTGCTACAACATGGAACTCAATCCAGTCCGTCATGTCCTTCTCGTGAAATTCCTAAGTCAGATGAATCTTTAACAACAGCATTGATCGAGCTTGATTTGTGATTTACAATGAACGTCATTTCAATTAACAGTGTCCCTAGATTTGAGACGACAAACAGCAGATACACGTCCGAGTTGATTGCAGGAAAAACATCTGATTGAACTCTTCGTTGAAACGTCGCATCTTATCATACAAAATGCATGAATAGCATCAACAACGGGCCGAAAATTCTGCATTCGAGCTTGATTATTCAAAACTGAATCTTCAATGCCTTCAACGATGTACTCCACAAGTTCTCTTCCAGACAATTTCAGTTTCTGGGCCAGAATTCGTTTTGATTGGCAATACTAGGCAAAAGATTCACCTCTTCCAGACCAGATGCACTTCTCCAAACGTCTGCGTAGATCGAACGTATTCACAGGTATAGCGAACATCTCCTTCAAGTTTCTTATTATTTCTTCGTAATTCTCGGATTCCTCGGATGAGAAGGTAACCAGTCTAGAGCCTTACCTTTGAGATTTTTGATAACCACTAGCTTCATGACAAAATCGTTCACAAACAGCGCTCGTCTTGAATTTTCCAGTATAGCTACAAAATGGTACACATCTTCGTTTGGTTCCCCAGCAAAGAATGGCAGCATCATCGCAATTTCGTCGGGTTTGAAACTTCCACAAGCGTTTTGTTGGATCCATGAGGTTGCAGCAGCATTCATTGCGTGGGAAACGGCGATACCTGCTCCAGAAAATCCGCCATCGAGACTTGAATTACAAAAGGATGCAGACTCTTCACCAGTAGCAGCAGTGTTTCTTCTTGAACGTTTCAGAATTGCGAGAGTTTCCAATTCTTCAGAGGTTTTTTGACTTCGAAGCAGCATGGCTTTATCCCACTTCTGAACTGTAGAGATTCAATAAAATATATCTTGTGGGTTTGAACCTTTATTACAGAATGTCCTAACAATGTCAATGTCTACTCTTCATCCCTCAGTCTGCCTACTATGATTATGAATCACTACAGTCATCATAGTAGATGAGAACACTCCGTCACTGCAGTGGCAACTGGTTCGTAAAGTTCCAGAATTTTTTTTTTATTCAAAGGCGCTAGGCCAAACGCTACTGGATTAACTGAACTTAGTTTTTCTGGTGGAAAACAATGCAATGAGATCTACGGAATGATATTTGAAATCTTGAATTAAGAAATTTTCTGAAGAAAAGAACATTTTAATCAGATTAGCTAAGTTTTTCACATTCTTGAGCTTATCGAGATTTAAGACATCGAAAAATGTAAATCTGTACACTCTTGGACTTGGATAACATTTTAAGATTCTAACATTTTGAAGAATTTTCTAGAGAGCTTTGATGATAATGCGAAATGAGTTTTGAGCAGGATTGTGGAGGAATCATTCTAATACCCCGTTCACATTACAGCCTATATCACGTAATAAAGGCTGTCTTGCAATGAGCACTCAAACATAGGATTTCCAGTGGAAACTAGATGTATGAGTGCTCATTGCAAGACAGCGTATATCACGTGATATACGCTGTAATGTGAACGGGATATAAAGGAATTCCAGGTATGTAATTTTGAGAGGTTTTTCAAGAAATTAGTAACGAGAACTAAAAGCGAATTCCACGGTAGTTTTCAAGCGACTTTTATGGGGATTTTGAGTAGAATTCCAGGGAATTCTAAAGCAAATCTGAAGAAATTTCAGCATTCTAAGGGAATTTGGAGGAAAATGTAATGTGAATAAGGAGAGATAATTCAAAAGATTATCTTAAGATGATTATGAGTAGAATTTCCAGAGAATTCTGAGGTTTTTTTTTGCAATAATAATACATGCTTAATTTTTCAAGAACATACCAAGAGATTTCTGAAGAATATTCCAAGGGAATTTAAACGATAATTAGGAGGAGATAATTGTAGAGTGAATTCCAAGAGTTTGCTGGAGAGAATTCCTTAAGTATTCTGCACAGAATTCTCAGACTGTTAGGAGGAAATTGAATTGAACGTTTCAATATCCTGTTCTAACAAAACTGTTCAAGATGATGGGCCTAAATATTTAAAAAAGTGTAACAGTGAGATGTGTGAGATCTAAAATTTGTAAAAATCTTCGATACGCCGGACGCAAATCTTGTACCTTGGGCTGAGAAATCGTTTAGGATTCTCATTGAAATTAAAATATTTGGAGATCTCAGGCCTAATTTTTGGTGTTTTTCGTCTGGTTCCTTATGACGAACAAACTTTTCTAACATAATTAGATATGCATCTTATAGGAAATAGTATCAGCTTTCAAATGACGTTTTAAGTTTTTAAATTACTGGGGGAAGCAACAATATAACTTCTTCTGAAAAAAATCCATTAGAACGACTAATTTAATTATGGTTACCAAAAATTCTAAATATACCAAATAATCGCCATGACGTTTTCCTTTCAAATGGTATGCAAACATTAGAGTTTTATCGAAGCCAACATATCAAGAAGACTGGCAACCCGGTCGTTTGACAAAATGGAAAAGTTGCCAGTCTTATTGATATGTTGTCTTCGGTTTTCTGCAAGATGTATAAGGGTAAATGACTAATATTGAGTCAAACTATTTCTACTTGTCATGAAACGATACTAGAAGACAAGAACATGTATTTATGAGGTGAGACATGTTGCGAAAATTGTGAAAAGAAATCCACTGCTTACAGGTGGGAATCAAACCCACACCTCCCAGCACGCTAGACGAGTGCTCTACCACTATGCTACCGTAGACTTGATGCTACCCTCATCAATCTTACGATGCGGTAATATGATAGAGACGGTCCAACTCCCCTAGTAAGCGGGATCTGATTCATCATTCTCGCAACACACTCAACCACCACCTTGTGTGCCTTCCAGTATCGGAGTGAGAGAGTTTGATGACTGTTGTTTACCACTCCGATCTCATGTACTAATTTAAATCATCCAATATTTTAGAAACTCAAAAAACTAGTTTCAGCTAGAATTGCTCATCTATGAGATAGATTGTATCGATCGTGCAAACAGTAATCTCAACCTTTGCAATAAATAGGTGGACCTCGAAGAGGAGACATGCCTAGCGCAGTGGTTTACATCCATGCCACTCACGCTAAAGGTCAGTTTAAATCTTATTCCCGGAAAAGGCACGAATGACCTCAAATGTGTTAAAGTGACTACATAATGTGGACCTCGGGGAAAAATGTCAAAGCATCTCATAGTCAATGGATACAATGACAAGGTTCGGATCAGAGGACCGTAAAGCTCTACTGGCCTGAGTCTACTCTAGATAGCCGATGAATGTTACGCATTGTTTCTGAACTTAGTGATATTTAGGCTGACATCAGCATCATTCTCTAAAACGATAAACCTCATATTCTTATCTTGGAATCAAGCAAGCACTCGTTTCGATTCTGCTGCGTTGCAAAATGGCTTTAGAAAGCAACCGACACTTCTAACGAAACACCTCTTCTACTGGGTATTACGATTGACGAACGAGTCTCGCAGCCAACAAGGAAATGCAATGCGGTGCTGCTGCAATCGCACACACTCGCTCAAGGTACGTGTGTGCTGTTGGGGGCTCGGGAGCTCCTCGGCGGCAATGAGCGCTGAGCTAACAACGAATAAAGAAATGTTTTCGCTTCAATGGATATAATATTCTCCAAGACAATCAGATTGAGCTGAGGTGTTGTTGCAAATTAGGCACGAAAGAGCAAAAGAGAGACTCGTTTCAACAACAACAACAACAACGAAAGCAGAGAAAAAACGGGAAACCCCTTCGAAACTCGAATGATGACAGTGAACTTAATGGGAAAAGTGAAATCCGGCAATAAAATAACGGGATTTGCAGCATCTTACGCATATTTTTGCGCGACATGTATCTCCTCTCCCCTCCCCACAGTTTTTCGTAGGGGCCAGCAGGCTACCAGCCAATGGTGATGATGTGCTGCAGCAGCCAGCTCGCAGGAGAATGTGTGGTGTTTACTCCGCGCGACATGGAGCAGAAAGAAAAGAAGAAAAATACAAAACTCTTACCATGTAAATGATGAAGGGAAGAAAAAGCAGGAACAACCAGATGTACAGGTGGACCGCATTGCAGAACACATTCTGATGGACGTCGTAGAACCATCCGCCGGTCAAGCTGGCCAGTACTCCTTGTCGCAGTATTTCCAAAGTTTGCGACCCCATTGCCGAAGGTTCATTTCATAATACTCCCGTGCGTTGCGCTCTGCCACCTTCTTCTTCCTACGCAATGCAATTACAGCACCTCTTCTTCCAACTTCGAAAAAACTTTTCCCCGGAAAAGATCTTCCACCTACGACGACACTCACGACGGAATGATCAAAATACAGTTTTCCACCAGATTTTCCCGAACCCAACGACACTACCTTTTTCAGTCGAGCGAGGTTGCAGCAGCTCGCTAAATAAAACTACTTTCAAATCATTTTTCTCGCCGTCGTCTTTCTCCGTCTGTGGGGGGCCTCCACACTAGTGCTACTTTTACGAGCAGCGGAGGAGTGTTGCACCAGCCAGCCAGCAAAAACTTTCCTCTTCTTCGACTTGGATGACGAGATTTTAATCGTAAGATTTCACACTCAATTTCACGAATTTCTTCACTTTTTCCACACCGAACGCGAGCCACGGACGATGCGTACCGATTTTGGGTAGAATTATTCCCGCAGGATGTAATTTTTCAACCAATTTTGCACGATTTCTCCGTCTTACGAACGACAGTACTTTCATCCACTTTACGATTTTAAGATTTTTTCCTCTTCTTTTTCGCTATTTGATGGCTGTTTTGACAGTTGAAACGCAAAGAGTTTGCGTTTTGCAAGGCTCTGAACAGTGGAGGAATAAGAAACCGAAATGGACAAAATTCAATTTATTTTTGTTACGGTAAGAAAAAAGTAACCAGTTCACTTTTACCTACTTTTGACTAGTTTGTCATTGTCTCCATTTCTCCTTCTAAAACGGAGGAGCAAACCCACACAACAGGGGTACTGAAGTGTGGGGACCCAACGTTGAGTACCATGATATTTTCCTACTTCCCAACTAACCATTTTCGCAATGTAAACGCTTAACTCATTTCATTTATTGACTTCTCGACGCAAGATCTCACTAATCCAACCTAGCGAGCGTAGCCGTGTAAAATCGATTTGTTTATTATTTTCAACCACGAAATCAGCTGTCAAAGTGTTCGACTTGACAGCTGTTTGTTTTTTATTTTCAACCAGTACCCTAAAATAACACTGTTATCAAATAAAAAGCAGCTCACGCGACCACCAACGATCGACCAAAACAGTCTGTGCACTGAACGAATTTGACATATTCCTGTTATGTGGAAGTCTAATAAATTTGCGCTATAAGATAATCCATTGAAAATGATATGATTGAAAATGTGTCAGGTAAATTCTATATGAATATCTGATACATTTACAATGCTGATAATTTGGTAACTTTTATATGATCGTCATATGATAAATGAAAATCGATTAAATTATAATAATTAACTGAAATGGATTTGAAACCCATAAGCATAAGCTATACTTTTCACCACAATATAATATATGTGTCATAAATCAATCGAAGTAAAGTTTATGTGAAAATAACATGAAATTTACTTCTTCTTTTGACACATATATTTAATCGATTTCTAAAAATTAATTCGAAAAATAAACATCAGGCAGTGGCTCCCACAGTTGTGCCTTTTTTTTATTGTAGCTGATTTGGGATTCGATCAAGATCTGTTGAGGTGTGATGCTTTCGGTGTCTGTGCTCGATTCCACTGGGCCACGGCTGACTTCAAGATTGAGCTCGTTCAAATAGCATGAAGTAAGAACAGCTCTCCCGACATGGAATGTAGTGCAACTTTATGCTCGTTTTGCTAGAGTGAAGACAAATAGCACTGACAAATTTATGTTCCGTTTCGGTGGTGTGGTTTGTTCAAATCTTTCTTAATGCACCTGTGTGCAATAAATCAACGACTAAATTATATGATTTGATAGAACTGGCTCATGAAGTTCGAGTACTACTTAGGGCTGGAATCTGAATTAGCCGTGTAGAAGGCTTACAATTAGAATCATAGCAAAGTAAATATTACAGTAGAATCATTTTTTTTTTTCAATCTCAATACATTCTTTTCTGGAACCAATTATCATATGAATGAGTGTACGTTAACATCATTGAAAATTGTTTCAATAATTTATAGAGAACAATCATGTAAGATGTATTTTATTGGGAGCGATATTCATCCCAGAAAAACATGCCAAAACAAATGCTTGCTGTTGGATTTCTTAAAAGGCATTTCTATATGACTATTTAATGATTGGGATAGATCTGTTTACAATCTTTAAACGTCAAAAATCAAAGCAAGCTATTACAATGAGATATACATGTTTTCCTATACTGCAAAGTTAAATGACAGTCCAATAGTTTCTACATGTCTATTTACACGCGACATATCAACAAACGTCAAAAATCAGTAAAAGCAACAGGTATATTTTACTGAATTTTCTCATAGTGCAAACTTATATGATTTTCCATTAGTTTCTAGATGTCTGTTCCCACCCATGACATATCAACAGTTTTTCACCATGAAATATATCAGACAATATTCATATACTTCTTACCTTCGCTAACCACGTTCGAAGCAAAGTATTATCAAGTACTAAGTATGTGAAATTACGATAGAAATCATTCCATATCGCAGTCATAGTTTTTAAGTGATAATCCAATAGAATCTATCAATCATCACATAGAATGAATAAATCTGCTGACATTGCTATGTTATAAGATGGATCCAATAAACGGTACATGTCGATTTGTTTCAGTGTGGGCAGTGTTGCGATATACACGGCGAATTAGAACGACCCAAATTTGAGTTTAGTTCACTCATAATCGCCAAAAGTGCAGGAACTCAGCGATGAGTAAAATTTGTGTCATGGTTTCCTGTAGAAAACCTAAAAAATCTGCCGCAAAATGAGGAAATTGACGAAACTTTTATTGAGTTTCGGAGTAGTACCAATAGACTGAGTGAATCCAATCTTTACCTTTCTCAAATTCGGGATTTTTTCCCTGGAAAATCCTGGAAAAACCTGGGAAAACATGAGGCAAATTTACTCATCGCTGAGTTCCTGCACTTTTGGCGATTATGAGTGAACTAAACTCAAATTTGGGTTGTTCTCATTCGCCGTGTACCGTTAAAAAAAGATGATGCATGTCCAATACTCATATTGTTCGTTTAACTCGTATAACTTAAATTATGCACTCATAATGCTTAAAAACAAACAAATAATGTTGAAAACATAAATGACCTATGTAACTGTGATTATAACAAAACGTCCTATATAACATGTCCAGAGCAAAATATCCTACACGGATAGAAATCTCCTTATACCTTTTGGCAAATTTCTATTGCTGATTATTCATAAAATGTATAAGTCAACTAATAAGCAGACGCCTTGCAAAAAGTTTATGAAGATCATGTGTCAAATGAAATGTATAAGCGGTCACACATCCTTTTATGCATTCTTATAGGACCTATATGGTTTGTCTTATGGAATGTATAAGGCTGATGTTTGGCAAAAATGTATAAGTGAAACACATCAATAAAATAATTGATTTTCGTTTCGTGATGTAACATTTTTCACGTTGTCATAGAAAAAAAAATGTATGAAACGGGTAGATAATAATTTCAATTTAAATTTTACTATCGCATTTTACTATCAAAGGTCTTAAAAATGTCAAAAGTTGATTTGGTTTAAAATAGTATCAAAAAAGATTTAGTCAATCTTCAACCTCGTTTTTCTCGAAAAGAGTTAAATGTTAGATAGGAGCTTTTGAAAAGTTAGGCGAGTATTCAAATGTTATACGATATGAGGAAACCTTTACTCAACCTCTATCCAGTATTTTACGATCGCTCATGGCCGCCACAATCTGGCTGAGTTTCTGGTAGGGAACATAAGATTTGAAGGTTATGTTGTGTCGTTTGACGTGTAAACGATCAAATTTGAACGTTTACACGTCAAACGACACAACCCAAACGTCAAATCATATGTTCCGTACCAAAAACTCAGCCGGATTGTGGCGGCCAAAACCCAACAAACAATTTTAGCTGCAACTTAGCTTATACAGGCAAAAATTAGCTGCATAAGGCAAATTTTGGCTGTATAAGCTAATCTGCAGCTGAAATTGTTTGTTGGGAAGCGCTCGTAAAATTCTGGATACAAGCAAATCTGGCGAACTTAGCTACTTATGGCAGTTCTGACGGTTGGGATAAGCTCTTATTGCATATCTATTAACGCTTCTATACAGCTGTTATCCTTCTGTTGTGTGTGAACTTGAAAGGCGCTTACTCAACCTTTACCCGATTATCCAAAAATCACTATGCAGCTTTCTCTTGACATCAGATTAAATATTGTTTACGGTTTTTTATGAAGAAATAATCATGTTTATTTTACTGCGAATCAAATTAATCGCAATTAGTTATGGGCAACACCACCAAATTCAGAGTTGGTTGGAAATGCTAACATGAAGCTTTAGTGTGATGATTTATTAGCTAGAGAATGATCTTTAGAAGAGGGTAGGTGGATAGTTCCGTTAGAGTACGGCAGTATGAAAATTGAATAGAAGTTGAAAATGAGCGAAGGGCTATTAATGCGACAGTTTTCAAGATAGACGCACATTTTTGCCTAACCCGTACGATGTACGCGGGGACTTGAAGTATGTCTCCAAGTCCACAGGCAAAAATGTGCGTCCCTCTTGTTGCTCATAAACTGACTGCGGCTGTGGAATAGTTCTAGCGACGTTTTCATCACTACCTAAAGCCCCACGTTGCGAGAGAATTTCCAGTCGATGGTGTGTTATAATGCAGTTCTTCTTTAAACGCTGTCCAGACTGGAGAGTTATAACATGTTATAACGGTTGTCAAATAATTGCAACACAGAAACCACCATCAAGATAGCGCTATAACATGTTATAACTCTGTAGTCTGAACGTACTATTACCCAACTATTGTGTTGCTCCTCTCGTCATGACCAACGTGATCATCTCAGAGAGAAAGCAGTACACACAAAGAACAAAAATTGTATCTATAAAAATAGTCCATTTTCAATTTAAAAGTTCCCCTCAATTCTATGAACTAACTACAAAAACAGTCAACATAAAAGTTAAATTGTTGGCATAAAAGTTTTTTTTTTCACGATCAACTTGTAATTTTAAAAGTTCATTTTTCAAAATTAAACGTGTTTAACTGTCAAAAATACCTCTTCAACGATGTGATTACTGCGTTTACTGGCAACCCGGGTAACCTACAATTGCCGCCTTTTCCACTTGTGGAATGTTGACATCAGCTGCGAAAACGAGATAAATTTTATTCCAGAAGAAATGAAAAACAGCGGCCGTAATGTAATTCTGCAATTTGCCTCGATTGTCTATTAAATATGAGTCTGTTTAATATAATCATTGAACTGTCTTCTAAGTGGTAAGTGGCTAATGAGGATAGTTTCGTGGTTGGTGTGAGTAAGAAACTGAATATTATTTTAAATTTCAGAATATGGTTGCTCGTTAGAATCATCGAGAATTCATTCAATCTGATCTTTGCCTTCGACAAAACCGTTGCCTTCGGATTCTCGACTGCACGGGGACAGGTTCGACCAGGTTGTGCGACAAACGAAGGAAGGGATCGACCATACGGTGAGGGTAGATCCGATGGAAGTAGCTTGATCGGAGACATGGTTTATCA